TCTTTCACACTCAGTAACATTATATTCTCTGCCCTCCAGGGTAGCCTATCCTTTTCTGAGCTGAGTGTTTTGGATGTTGGAGAGGCTTTCTTATACGGAGCAGACATTTCCCCCTGTAATCACCGTTTGATTCAAGTCCACCTCTCTGGAAAATGCAGCACAAGCCTTATTTCTCTTTTGTAGATGACAGCTTTCTCTTCACAGATCAGAAACACCGATTGCTGTGTAATTACCTCTTCTCCTGGATCAGAGAAATCTTGAGCGGCCTTTTCAGTGGACGACTTCTGTGAAATAGGTCTGTCATTGCTTGGCAGCCAGGATTTTCACAAGATCGTGTTCTCTTTAAGACTCTGCTTTCCCTCCTGGGAAAGCAAGAGACGGTTTAATAACATGAACCATTGCCAATAATAATAATAATTAGTGCTAATATTTTTTGAGCACTTGATATGGGCCTAGACACTTCAGTACTTTGCATGTATGAGTTCATTTAATCCTCATGACAACCCTGTGATGTAGGTGCTGTGACTATTTACATTTAACAGATAAGAAAACCAAAGACATTTTTGTAAGTCTCTAATACGTTTTTTTTTTCCTTTTGAATTTAGGTCCTTTTTGTCTTTTCCTTATGAACAGACTTTTTTATTTGTTTTCATTTGAGATAAGCCTATTTTCCAGCTTGCTACTACTACTGCCTCTATTTTGAATCAAACAATATGTTTATAAAAATCATGGCTTTAGGCATTATTACCATATAGAGGAAGGTATCAGGAGGATTGTTTTCTTTAGTAATAGGTAAAAAAATATTAAAGCGGTATAGAAGGAAATCATGCTTCACATATTTTTTTAACTGATTTGCTCTTTGAAATAAGAAATTCCAAAACCACAAATTTCAGATTTTTATTTATTTTGCTGTAAAATATGCATGCTATATATGTTTTGTTATTTGAGTTGTACAGGGTCCTTGGTTGTCCTTAGATTATTGTCATTCCTAGGGAAACAAAAGCAAGAACCATTTTGACAAAAACAACCCAAAAAAACTCTATGAGTTAAAAATGTATCATTTTTTAGAAGAAAAGTAACAACAGAATTTAAAGAATGATCCAAAATCTTTTGTTACCTAAATAATAACAAGCTTGCCTCTTCCTCTACTAGAAGTTCTTCTTCCCCAGAAGTAGAGATTTAAATTCAGAGCAACTGGGCAATCCTTGAGAAACTATTATTATTTTAACTTTACTTGTAGAAAATCACTTCTCAGTTGAGTGAAAGGACCCCAAAAGGAAAACCCCTCTGAACACATTTTAGAATTGGTGTTTAGATTTCAGGTTTCACCGTATCATATGCCTGCATTAGACATTTTGAAACAATCAAAAGCTACTATTGGTTCTAAAAGGTTAGTATCATTTTTGGAAGTTCAATAAATCTTTTTAAATGACCTCAAAAGCGACTTTGAGTTCTATATGTGGCTTAACAAAATAATTTTATAACAGAGAGGTTAGGCAGATGACAAATACTCAAGTCTTGCGCGTGTACAACCAAATGTACACTCATGTGTGCATACACACACTCACACGCATATGCATGTGCTGTTAGCAAGAATATTTTGTGCTTTGTTTACATCAACATTCCAAATTCCAAATGCTGTCCTGCAAGGAAAATAGGTATTTGGTTCCGGTACGTAGGAGCTCTTTGTGCCTGATTTCTGTTTCTCCTTTTGAACGTCTGGAATAAATACTTGGGGAGATGTGAAAATCAATCATTAACAGATTCTAAGGCAGAATGACCGAAACTAGAGAACAGAGAACCTACTGCTTTTATTTACCTGTAAAAGTTCAGTTCTATATCAATGCCAGGAATATTCTGGTTCTTTTCTAATTGCCTAAAATGGTCTTCCATACCAAACTAAATCTAAGGCAAGGCATGTTGTGAAAGAAGACAATTGAGAAAAAAAGATCTTTTGTGCCCTAGCAAAGTAAAATGGTTGGCTGAAGTAACCATTCCTGTGATTCAGGCAAGTCCTCCCCCTTGCTGGAAGGACAAAGAATGATTTTACTGTTGCAATGCCAGGAAGATTGCCGGAACTCCCAAGTGACAAGTTACTATTGAGTGTTGGTATATCTTTTGGAAAGAAAACTATGAGATGTTCAGGAGGGGATGGGAGTGGGGAGATGATGGATGGATAGGGTATTTCTGTTGGCAAGTGAGCCCTCTCTTGGACTGTCATTGTGAGCTCCCCATTGAGTAGAGCGACACTGATGGTGGTTTTCTTCATGAACATTTGTTTATTCTTTGTTCCACTTCATTGGGGATTTGGAGTAGAATCAGGATGTGTTTAAGAATTTGAGTGCTTTCATTTCTCTTCCTTTGAGTCTTCCAAAATGTGGTAAATAATAATATGATCATTGCCAAGTTACATTGGGTCAAGAATTACAACTCTTGGAGGTCTTTACCATTTTATACCAGTTTTCTAATTCTGAATTAAAATTCTATACCTATCTGTATGGTCTTTCTCAAGGCCCCATTTTACTATATTGCTTGCTACCAGATATTCCTAAAATGCAAACCTGAACTGCAACTTTGATGGCTGCCCCTTAATTTCAGGATTAAATCAAATTATGCTTTATGAATGAAGAAGCCCGCTCTATCTCCACATGTCCCCGGAGTTCCGGGACTGGTCACCCTGAGTGGCCTGAGGTTGCCCATGGCTTCGTGCTCCTCTATGCTGGCTGTGCTTTGATGAGCTCTGTCTCCCTTCTTCCTCTAGAGTCCTTACCAACCTTTTTTCCTTAACTAACTCTGCCCAAGGAGTACAGCTTCTGGAGAGCCTTTCCTGAGGGTTCCTGCCTCTCCAGCCCTGGTCAGTTAGACGACTTTCTTCAGTGATCCTGTTATATCCAGGGCTTCCTTCTATACGGGAAGTCAACAGGCTGAATTTTTTGGTGTGACTTCTTGTCTCTTTGCCCTGTGCAGAAACAAAAACTCAGTCTTTTATTTCTGTCCCTAATGCCTGTGCATAGCATATTATAGTTGCTCAAATTTATTTTGAGTGGATGATTAATGGATGAGTAAATACAAATGGCGCAGACTATTTTTAAGAGAAAGGAATGTAGTAAGATTCTTAGTGGAACAAATCCAGTCACATGGCTGGGCTCTCCATGGCTTGCTAAGAGACAAGAAATTCATTCACTAAGCAATGTTGATTTGAGCACCTATTATGTGCCCCATGCTGGCTAGTCTCTTAGGATAAATCAATGTGCAAAACAAAGACTTCTGCCCCTGTCCAGCACACATTCTACTTACATTCTAACAAGGTAAAGGGAGGGGTGACAATAAACATAACAGTTAAGTAAATGACCTACAGAGTGAAGAATAGCAATGAGGTCTGGATGGCCCCTTGGAGCAGAGTTTCTGAAGGGAAAAATGGTTGGAGGGGGCTTAGAGAGGTGGGCAGGAAGGGAGTTGTTGCAAATACAGATGGAATAGGGTCCTGTGCGCCATTGAAGGACATTGGCTTTGGTCATGAGAGATGGAGAGCTATTGCAGGGATTTGGTGTGGCATGATCTGTCATAGGTTTTAAAAGGAACACTCTTGCTGTGGTGGACCAGTGAGGGGCAGGGGGAAAGCAGGGGGACCCATTAAGGAGACTCTCCAGCATTCTGAGTAAGAGGTGATGGTGGTTTGGATGAGGATGGTAGCAGTGGAAGTGGGGCGGGGGGGGGGGGGGGGGGGGTTAAATTCTAAATGTATTTTGAAGGTAGAACCAACAGATTTTGCTCACAGGTTTAAGGTGGGCATGCGAGAGAGAAAAGTTAAGGATAATTCCAAGATTTTAGGCCTGAGCAGCTGGAGGGATGGATTTGCCATCAACTGAGATGTGGAAATCTGTTAGTGAAGTAAGATTTTTGTTTGTTTGAGGGTGTGAGGATGGGTGGAAGGTGTTAGGAGCTCAGTTGGAGATATGTTAAATAAATGATCCTTATTAGGTATTGAAGTGAAGTTGTCAAGTAAGCAACTGAATATGGGATTTCAGGAAAGAGGGATGGGCTGGAAATATACATATATTTGGGAGCTTGCTGCCTGCGAATGGTATTTAAAGTCAAGAGAATACAGGAACTCACGAAGGGTCATGTGACTGTGTGTCTAGAAGAATAAAAAGTGAACCATGGGGCTCTCTCTGACATTAAGAGGTCAGGAAAAAGACGATGAGAAGGAGCAACCAGGGAGTTAGGGAAACCAAGGGAGTGCGGTATCCTAGAAATTATGTGAAGGAAATCTATGAAAGAGGATGGAGTCATCAGGGGTGTCAGTTGCAGCTGGCAAATTAGATGAGGGCTGATCACGGAGCACTGGATTTAGTAACATGTAAGTTACAGGTCACCTTGGTGAGAGTCATTTCATTGGGGTGGTAGGGTGGAGGCCTGATTAGAATAGGTTTAGGAGAGAATGGCTGAACAGAACTGGAGACAGCCAGATGGCTGAAGAATTATGGCGTTCTTTTAGATCATTGAGGATAAAGAAGAACTCAAAGTAAAAGGTCATCCCTCTTCCCTTTTTATTGGTAAATGGTTATTAAGCATTTCACAAGAAATATCCTTTTACATATAGATGATTATAGTTTGGGGGAAAACCAAGGCCAAATAAAACTTTTCTTTCCTGGTGTTTTTTTGTTTTGTTTTTGCATTATTGCGAGGGGAAAAAAATCCATAAGTAAATGGTTTTACACCAAACATGAGTAAACTGTTATGCCGAGGACTTGCTGATTTACTTCCTTCATGAAATCGGCTGGTTCATTTTATTCCCCTGTCACCTTTTCTTTTCTTGATGGCTTTTTTCCACTTCGAAATTGAAATTTAATTCCACACCCATGACACAATTATTTCTGTAAGTTTGGCCCAGTTTCTTAACCCAGAGACATTTTCCTCTTCAGTGAGTGCTGCGAATTTTTTAAAAAGTAGTTCGTTGTCCTCTTCGGTTTTATTGAGGGGCAGGTTCTTTTTTCTTATTCCTTTTTAAAATTATTGCTGAATGGCAGGAGAGGAGAGCACCAGCAGTGATAAGAAAGGAAGAAAGCTTTCCTCACTTTGAATTGCTCAGATTTCATTCTAATCATAAAATATTGTCAAGTTCATTCTTGTGGGTTGCTCAGTCTATCCCAGTCCTTTATAGAAGAGGACTCAAGGACAGCCAAGCCCTGTTTGTACCCAGGAGGGGAGAATGCCATCCCCTGGAACTACTTCTCTGCCGCTCACTCCACGAGCCCTCTCTGCTTCTCCGTCTGTAGGTAGTATTGCTTTCCTCTGAACCCCATTGCTGCATGCTGCTGTGGCCCTTAATTTGGTTGTTCGGTTGTGGGGGTGGGGAATCTTGGGGCGAGGGTCATGCAATATAATGATTAAAAGCACAGCCTCTGCAGACTTGTAAAGCTGCATTCCAGACCTAGCCTTCCCACTCCCAGCTTTGTGATTTTTAGGCAAATTAATCTTTGTGTGCCTTTGTCTTTTCAACTGGTAAATGGGAGTAGCTCCTACCTCAAAAGTAGTGAGGATTAGAGGGGTTAAGGCTTGCAAATGTGCTTATCAGAAAACTGGTCATCTGAATAAATGGGAACCTGGAAAATATATACAACATATAAAATACTCCCCTATCTTTATGACAGATTTCCTGAAAGAAAAGGACAATGGCTTATGTATCTTTCTAGAAGCACTTCTTATCTATAGAAAGAACTCAGTGTTTATTAATGATGATAGATGGTGCTTTGGAAACATGGACTGTTTGCTCATGGAAACTGTGATATGCACATCATAATGTATTTCATTGTTGCACATTAGTGAGTGTTTCAGGATTTAAAATCTTTCAGACTGAAAGTCTGACAGTGCACAGTCTAGGGAAGAGATGTTGCAACTTTGATGGTGTATGAAGTCAGTAAGTTTTTGTTTTAGTTTTCCCAGCACTCATGAAAATTGCTGGGGTTTTTCCCTGTCATTCACATTTCACAGCCCAGAATACAGAAATATGCTTCTAACTTTTTAACACAATCTATCAAATTCTGTATAATTAGGAGAGGAGCTTAGATGACATTTATTTTTAGTCACCTTTTATAAGCCATGTATTTTAATAACATGAAAAAAAGATTAGAAGAAAAGAATAGACTAAAACAAACAAATTACACTTTCTAATGATAAAAGCAATATAGATAGGTTCATGTTGAGAGACCGTAGAAAATTCCAGTAAGGAAAAAGAAGAACACATTGAGATGCCACTGTTTACACCCCCATGTATACTGCAGGAGTTTTGTATGATTAAATATGCATATATAATTTTCACACAAAAATGACATCATACTGTATAGTCAGCTCCATCAACTGCTTTTTCCCATGTAATAAATAGTGAATGTTTAAAATACACTTGTGCATCGTTTTGCCCAATATGGCTGTACCATATTATTGTTAACCAACTGTATGGAGCTCTTTAAGATCTTTACCATTTTTTCTCAATTACTAACAATGTTCTGATGTACATCTGATCAACTTATAATATTTAAAGACCACAAATACCTCTTGGACTTGCCAATATAAAATAGTTGGCATGTTCAGTACAATTCAGTTTCGTCCGTGTTTAAAACATTCTTTTCCAAGTCAGCTTTGAGTGATTTATTTGATGGTCACATTTGGAGTTCCTGTGCATGACTAAAAAAGAAAAAGTGTAGTTCTCTGAAAATACTATGTGTTTCAGATTTTATTCATGAATCTAAGACAGCCTTTTCCGCCTTTGATGCAGACGAGAGAGTTCTTTCTGGTAATGTCATCAGGAAAATGTTGCTCTGAAGTCTTTATCTCCTCAACTATGTGATGTGTAAGTCAGGGTTAGTGAGGCCACCAGTAGGTCAGTTATTTCAGTTCTGTCATTTCAGCGGGAGAAAGGCTGGCGCATGGCGGTGCTGGGAAGGAGGGTGATAGAAAAGGAAGCTAGAATTAGATGCCTACCCCACAGACCGAAGGTCACCACTGTTTCCATCTTTCATAGTTATTGCAACTGGAGATCCCATATTTTCTTAGTCAAGATAGCAAATATTGTCTCCAGCTGCCTGTTGAAACATCTCAGAGGTCTTAACATTAAAAGCAGCATTTTTCTGTTTTATGCACCTAGAAATGGCACAAAAATTCTTTACGACATCATGTCTATCAATGTTAGGGTTATGAAATATGATTATCAAATTTATAGGTCTTCAGAGAAGGAATACTAGAGGTGCCTTAATCATTCATTTTTGCAGTAAATGTCTGTCCCATACCTACAATACACTAGGCATTGTGCTAGGGGCTGCTGTTACAGAGAAGTGAGCAGGCCTTACGCTGCGCTGTTCGTGGTGGGGTACACATACAAATAAAACAACCAATAGTGCTTTGTAGTACTTTGTTGCACTATGTAATAGACATATTCCAAGATGCTACAGGAGTGCAGAGGAAGAGAATAACAGGTGTTTATAGAGGAAGCAACTCTCTAGCAGGTTGATAAGTGAGCAGATATTCTCTAGGGAGGTGAGAGGACCGTGCGAAGTGTGCGACAGACAGCGTATGCTAGGAATTCCCAGCAAACAAGAATTGTGGTGTTCATGTAAAACAATTCTTGAGTTAAGTTAAAAAAATTTTTTTCTAATTTAGTGTTTTATTATTTCTCTGTATTTCTGGTGGGTTTTTTAAAGTAATTTATTTGTTTATTCCTTTCTAGGAAATTAATAAGTCATTTTATCCTAAAAGAGTAAATGAAATGGACATGGCTTAATAAGGTGTTCTTGTAACTACTTCCAGTCCTAATGACATACATTTTTCCTGCATTAGATTTAATAGCTTAGAAACTATGGCTGTAGATTCACAGAGATAGAAAGATACAACAGACAAAGAATATGGAGTTCAAATTATCTGCTAAATTTTTCATGCTGTTAGTAATACTCCGAAGTGTAATCAAGATCACTGCACACATCTGTTGATCTCAGCATTGGAAAAGCCTTGGGCTGTACTTTCTGAGATTTCAAACACAGTAGATTTATAGTGGAAAGGAACCAGAGCTTTAGACTAAATAGATATGCTGTAAGAAAGCCATAACAATCTTATTTAAATATTTTCCACATTAAATAAGGCATGTAGTACTGTTATGTTACTGCCATGATTTTTTTTTGATAAATGAATTTGTATTCATGATAGTTTTTAACAAATTCTCCAGGGAATTCCACATAATAGCCAATGTGAATACTTGAAGGAAAGAATCTATTGGAGCCCACATTCGAATTAAACTTCCTCAAACTGTATTGATTCCTTCATTTTTTTTTTATGTTTAGGAAGCCTAATTAACAAAAATCTGGAGAGAGATAAGTAGAGTGAATTTCTAATATGGTGTAATATTGTTCACTTGGTAACTATATCTTGAGCACCTACTATGGTCCAGACTCTGAACTTTCGTGAAAAATGTTATCTCTAGTTTCTGTTAGACACACTAATTCCCTGGCTTCATGGAGTTTATATTATAACAAGAGGAAACGAGGAGAAGGGGAGAGAGAGAGAGAGAGAGAGAGAGGGAGAGAGGGAGGGAGAGAGAGAGAATGAAGTCATTGCCATTTACAATATAGATTAGGAAGGAAATATACAAGGGGCTGAGAACTCGAACCATAGAGAAGCACCTGACTTGATCGGGTAGTCAGGGAGAAGCATCACAGACTGGGAGTTGCTTGTAGACTCCTGAGCAACAAGGAACTTGGTGTGTTTGAGGAATTGGAATCAGGCCACTGGGGCTGAAGCCTAGTGAGTAAGGGGAAGAACAGCGTGAGACGAGGTTGAAGAGCAACGTAGGCCGCAGAGCATGCAAGGCCCTACAGCCCATAGGAAGGACTTTGGATTTTTAAAAACTTAAATGCATGGGGGTGACACTAGTTAGTAAAATTATATAGATTTCAAGTGTTCAATTCTATAATACATCATCTGTATATCGCATTGTGTGCTCACCACCCAGAGTCAGTTCTCCTTCCATCACCGTAGATTTGATCTCCTCTTCATCCTCCCGCCCCCTTCCCCTCTGGTTACCTTCACACTGTTGTCTGTGTCTGTGAGTTTGTTTTCTTTGTTGTTGCTTTCTGTTTTATATCCCACAGATGAGCAAAATCCTATGGTTCTTGTCCTTTTCTGTCTGATTTATTTAACTTAGCATGATACTCAAGATCCATCCTTGTTGTTGGAAAAGGTGGTATTTCATCTGTTTTTTATACCTGAGTAGTATTCCATAGTATATCTGTACCACATCTTGATCCAGTCATCCACTGAAAGACACTTAGATTGTTTCCATGCCTTGGCCACCGTGAATAATGCTGCAATGAACATAGGGGCTCTTTACGGATAAATGTTCTTAGGATTTTTGGGTAGATACCCAGAAGAGGGATTGCTGGGTCATATGGTAACTCTTGTCTTACTTTTTTGAGGAACCTCTGTACTGTTTTCCACAGTGGCTGTAACAATTTGCATTTCCACCAGCAGTGTATAAAGGTTCTTTTTTCTCCACAACCACTCCAACACTTGTTATTTCTTGCCTTATTGATAATAATCATTCTAACAGGTGTGAGATAGTATCCCATTGTTGTTTCGATTTGCATTTCCCTAATAGCTAGTGAAGTTGAGCTTTTTTTTTTCATATATCTGTTGGCCATTTGTATGTCTTTGGGACAAGTGTCTGTTCAGGTCCTCTGACCATTTTTTAATTGGATTGTTTTTTTGTTGTTGTTGAGTTGTATGAGTTCTTTATATATTTTGGATATTAGTTCCTTATTGGAGCTATTTGCAAATATTTTCTCCCATTCAGTTGGTTGCCTTTTATGGTTTCAGAGCATGGATTTTATTCTAAATGCAATGGGAAGGCATTAAAGAATTTTACACAAGTTATCCTGGTCATTCTTGCCTTGTGGAGAATGGAAGCAGGGAGGCCAGTTAGGAGGCTATTGTGTTAGTCTAGGCAAGAGATGCTGGTAATGATGCTGAGGGATAGAAATAAGGATGGAAAGGAGAAGATGGCTGTGAGGAATCGCTAGGACTGGGGGAGGGCGTGGTGAGGGGGGCGAGGGAGAAATCAAGGGTGACTGCTAGTTTACTGATGAGTAAAAAGGGAATGGAGTGACAGTGAATGAGATGGGGACGTCAGAAAGGACAGAAGTAGAGGTGTTTGAGTTCCATTTAGGATGTATTATGTCTAATATATTGGTGAGAAACCCAAAAGGAGGTGTCAGTTGGACACGTAAGTCCAAAG